CAGACATAAAATTTTAAAAATAAATAAGAGAGAAAAAAATCACCAAACAAGGCAACTGCAGTAACTGCTCAAAATCCTGATAATCACTACATAATGTGGACTAAAGCAAGACATCAATGGAAAGACAGACCAGAAAATTCAAGATATTGAACAAGTAACGAAAATAAGAATCCGAGGAAGGTAAAGAAACAAAACCAGCTGCCTTGAGCTCTCAAACCCATGCCCCCAGGTGAAACTTTGTCCCTAAGACAAGAATTAGGGTGCATCTACATAAGATATTGCTAAAATAACAGCACCAAATGTAATAAATTTTTGAAATGGGAAACAAAAGGCAACAACATTAAACCCCCTCTTAGCTAGTAAGTCAATTCAAACCCAACAGAAGAAACCTGAAAAATACATAATACATAATATTAATTAAGGAGTGAAATATATATATATATATATATAGAGAGAGAGAGAGAGAGAGAGAGAGAGAGAGATGTATATAAAATTTTAAAAGACTTAAGAGACAAAGGATTTAACATGCTCTCCCAATAACCTATTTCAACTTCCTTTATTAACTGTGGTGTTAAAAACCAAATTCCTGCACACAAAAAATCACCATCTTGATAATCACTACATAATGTGGACTAAAGCAAGACACCAACGGAAAGACAGACCACAGAATTCACGATATTGAACATGTAACAAAAATAAGAAACCAACGAAGAGGAACAAACAAAACCAGTGGCCTCAAGCTCTCAAACTGTTTTCCCCTGGTGAAACTTTGTCCCTAAGACAAAAATTAGGTTGCATCTCCATAAGATATTACTAAAATATCAGTACCAAATTTAATAAAAAATTAAAATGGGAAACGAAAGGCAAGAACATTAAAACCCCCCTTAGGTAGTATGCCAATTCGAAACCAACATAAGAAACCTGAGAAATACATAGAAACTAATATTAATTTTGGGGTGAAAGAGAGAGAGAGAGACTTGTATAAAAAAATAAAAAAATATTAAAAGAAAAAGATTTAACATGTTAACCAAACCAGAATAGCTCCCCATAACAGTGTCATAAACCTTTGGCTCCATCCAACTTATAGTCTCCATAAGCACTTTAATCACAAAATTAGTGAATCATCAAGACAATACCTAACCACACTGCTATACAAATTCGAAGCACAAATATATGCAATGAAAACCATTGAATAAACTTTTTTTTTTTAAAAACATAACATAAAAGGTAAGCGCCAACCCACTTTTGGTTGTAATTATTAATAGCTTGAAGACCATAAGGCAGAATATACTGATCAAATACATGGCAATAAAGAGGTAAGCGAGAAAAACTCAGGGTCTGTAATCAGAACATTGAATAATTTTATATATCTGAAAAAAAAAACAATTACTATATAAAAAAAAAAATTAAAATAGACCCTTCCATTCCCACTGAGAAAATCAAAAGAAAGCCAACATTGAGGACATAAAAACCCAATTACAACATACCCAAAAATACAAGAAACACATCAAAAATAAAGGCTACGAACTAAGAAGGTTAACAATGTACCGCACGAATTCTGGATTTAGCATCTGTCAATAAAAGAGCAGAAGGTTTGGCATGATTATAGAGAAAAGGAGGACATAAACATGATATTACTTACAAATTTCAGGGACTAGAAAGATATATAAATACTCGCATTTTGACAAACTGTAAAAGAATAAACAGGTAACCAAAAACAATAATCCATATGCAGCAAACCAACGAAAACCTTTACAAATGGAGTGCACTACGCTCTATCCAAAGACGACAAATGTGCAGTAATAAGCCCAAAGCCATCCGCAATACTATTACTATATCTCCTGCAAATCAATAGATCCGGATAGACAATTTTGAAATTCAACATTCCATTGCATCCGTAAAACAGTAGAAAAATCCAACCTCGTAGCCATCCACAATCAGATCCCATAAGAACCTATCGAGTTATCAGCTAACCAAACATCTAACCCTCGTGTGTCAAACACCGCAAACGAGGCCTGAAAAATAACAGCAAAGCTCCGCTTATTTGATTGATAAAAACCGAGGGGAATTTCCAAATCATTATATTGTAAACTTCAGAACAAAATCAAAGGAGGTAAACGAAAGATCTCCCATAGAAGGTAAATCGATGAGGTTTTCGTCCAAATCAAAACGCAAGCATAACTAGGTACTGAATACACGATGCCCTGGCATTCATCATCCCAATTAAAACTCATAAGCATATCAATAAAGAAGAGCTTCAGGCTCAAATCAACAAATTATATCTATAGAAAACAACGAGAAGATCCAAATCCAAACACCTACGTCACATGATCCACGATGTCGTTTGGGTCTCATCTGAACCAATAAAACACGCCTGCAAATATACACAATCTCTGGTTCTTTATACAGTCACAACCTTCGAAGGTCATTAGATCCAACTTTTAATCGGTTAGCAAAATCCATCACCAAAACCTAAAGCATAGCGATAACAAAACTTAATCCATCGATATCGATATCGAAAGCATAGAATCAAACCCAAACAGAAGAAGAGAAACAACAAATTCGATAATCTACACAAAACGAAACCTGATCGCCACCGCCTTTCGTTCAGGGGCCTGCGAAGTAAGGTGAACCGTGCGAACGTCTGAAGGGTATTTATATCGGAAGGGGATCGAGATGAACGGCCAAGATTAAGCGGTGATGGAAATAATGGACGGTGGATGTCTAAGTTGTAACGGATAGGCTGTCGACGCGGTTCCTCTTGGTTGGAAAAAAATAAAAATAAATAAAAGCTGCCACGTGTTTTTTTGGGTGAAGACTCGCAATTCGTGTTGCACCAGGATTCCTATCCACATTTGGACAGAAAAAATTAGAACAAATAAAATAAAAAGGGAAACTGCCACGTGACCTTGTGGGAGCAGGATTCCTATAAGGCTCCGTTTGGTTCATGGGAAATCAATTACTCTCTCAAGTTGGGTTTTGTTTTCTCTCCTCATGGAAAAGTTTGGGGAAATGAACCAACATTAAGTACACATTTTTCGTGACCATTTTGTCCCCATTAACAATTTAGAATTACAATATATCATTAAAGACATTCTTTTTTTTATTTAAATTAATATGGGTATAATTGAAAATTTATACAAACTTTGTTTTCCATTCCTACTCAAAATAAATATGGGAAATGAAATAAAGTGTTATCTTCTGATTACTTTCCTAACATTACCAAATGCGGGAAAAGAATCTTCCATTTCTTATCCCTTAGGAAATGACATGAGAAATGATTTCTCTTCAAATTCATTCCGTGAACCAAACGAAGCAAGTGGCAGTGTAACATGGGTTGGGCTACAGGGAACAGAAAGATTAGGCTATTTAATATTCTTTGCATTGGTCAACACCCTGCAATTGGCCCAAGATCTTTAGTTTCATCAAGCCCAATAGCCATGAGTACATCCAAAAACAAAGAAGGAAGCCCATCAAACGGTGACTTTTTTCTTTAATAGAAACGACGGTCTAAGCCAAGGTTTTGATTAAATATTTGTGGTTGAGCTATTTTATTAATTAAATGTTTTAGTCGCTTAAATAAGTACTTGGGCTCCACCAAACCCTCAGGAAGGACCCTCGATGGGTCAGGCGTGCTCAGATGCACAGTGAGTGGACTTTTATTTTATAAATGAATTTTATACAGTAAAAATTTTATTAATTGATCATGAATGAATTATTTATGATTTTTGTTTTCTAAGTATACAGTTTGAATTCAAATGCTTTTATAAAAATTTGTTTTATGATTAAATGTGAATGGCTTGGAAAGTAGAAAAGGAAATTGTAATAGGATTTAAGGATTGAGTGAGAAACAATATTTTAATTTTCCAGGAAAGATTTTTAAACCACCATAGGTGCCCAAAATGTTGCCTTCGAACAAACTGTTGCCTTGGATATAATGATGTCTACGGACATCCTAATTGCCTTTAGTTGAGTCAGCGCGCGTTTGACAGTTGCCCCACAAGTCCTAGGATACATGGACCGTGAAAAGCGAGGAATACGGCTCAATCAAGTGTCTCATGAGTTCTACAAGGAATGCGGCTCGCGTTAACTTTGTGTTTCCGAGTTCTGGGAGGAGGTGTCGCTTATGTGACACTTGGAATTGATGTTATAATGTGGGAGATAAATAGAAAAATCATGGAATTAACGGATTTATAAAAGATACACTTAGGTGAAAATGAATTATTATTTTTCAATGTTTTCAAATGGTTTTGATGAATTGATTGAATGTATGAATGGTTATATGAATATAAATATGCATGCTTGATTTTTGTACGATTATAGAACATGGATTAAATGAATTTTCAAATGGTTTTAATAGTAGGGTTAGTATGTTGATATTATATTTTGCAAAACTTTCTTTTGTTCATTTATGCTTTTAATGTTTTGCGCTCACAAGCAGTAATCAAGTATCGGAGCACCACCATCGGGCATTCATCACCCATCACTCATCCACTTCCATTATGTATGATATTCTACTGTAATTGTACTATTTTTTTGTAAATTAAATTAATTAGTAGGCTTTGATATTGCCCTAGGATTTCTATAAGGCCTGAGGCCACACAGATTTGTTATTGGGTTGTGTGTGCTCTAACATTGTGCATGCTAAACGCTTGTGAATATAAGAATTGCATTTTGTACATGTGTAACTTATTGGGAAACGAGAAATTTACTGTAACATCTCACATCGACCAACGAAGAGGGAGTGATGTGTCTTATATGTACATGCCCGCCTTCATCTAACACGAGACCTTTTGGGAGCTCACTAGCTTCGAAGTCATAAGAACTTCGAAATTAAGAAAGTTGGGATTAGAGCAATCTCAGGATGGGTAACTCCTTGGGAAGTTGCTCGTGAATTTCCATAAACAAAACCGTGAAGGCAGAGAGGGGGATCCAAAGCGGACAATATCGTGTTACAGTGGAGCCGATCCCGAGATGTGATAATTTGGTATCAGAGCCACTCTGCCGTGTGATGCGAGTGTGTTGACGAAGACGTCGGGCCCCTAAGGAGGGTGGATTGTAACATCCCACATCGACCAACAGAGAGAGGGTGATGTGCCTTATATGTACATGCCCGCCTCCATCTAGCACGAGACCTTTTGGGAGCTCATTGGCTTCGGAGTCATAGGAACTTTGAAGTTAAGCGAGTTGAGGCTAGAGCAATCCTAGGATGGGTAACCCGTTGGGAAGTTGCTCGTGAGTTCTCAGAAACAAAACTGTGATGGCAGAAAGGAAGGCCCAAAGTGAACAATATCGTGCTACGGCGGAGCCGATCCATGAATGTGACATTTACAGGGGAGTCTATCAATTTTTCAGCAGAAATCAAACCTTAAAAGAATTTTTGAGTTTTAGTTTAAAGGACAATTTGTTCAAATATCCCCGGCACCTGATAGGTATTGAATACACACAGGATTCGACACGGATTTCAAAATGAAATTTGAGTCCGGTCCTATCACTACGCGTGTAAAATTATATATAAATAAATATATAAATAGACAATTAGATTCGGTTTATACGGGTGTACAAAAGCTCGAAACTAAATAGTATATGATTCAGTTCAATTTTTAAACCTTTACTTTTTCTTGATTAAAACCAAACCAAGTCAGTAATTACACATTAAATCGATCGGATTGATGCTTGCCCGTATTGTTGGCTTTCCATTGCCACGTTATTTCTTTGACACAAGTAGTTTTTTCATTCTTAATTTTTTTTCATTTGGTTTCTAGTGTATTGGGCCTTGTTATTGGCTTAGCCCAGGTGTATTTAGTTTTTCTGTTTTATATCCACATTTGCTGAGCCGCATACTGCTGATTTCAGTCGCTGCCACTGCTGAAGAGTCGTCCAAGATTCCTCTTCTTTTCTTCTTTCTTTTGTTTTTATGTTTGGTTCGGACGGCGAATCTTTTTTTAAATTAGGATATTGTCTCTACCTCTTACATTTGGGTTTCAAATAAATTAGTTCCCATCTTTATACTCCCAAATAAATTAGTTGCAATCTTTATACTCTTTTAGGGTGATTCTAGTATATGCTCCAACCCAAAAAACAAAAACAAAAAAAAAAACAAAAAAACAAGAGTCATGTAACCCTGAAAAAATAAGAAGGTAAATTCAGCTTCCACGTGAGCGATAGAGCGGCCCCGATAATTATAAGTACATGGAAAATGAATTGTTACACATCAAAAATTGGTGGAGCATTTTACTACACATCAGCCAATTCAGGTTCCCAAGTCCACAGATAATCCAAACTACCATTTTAGTCAGCCACCAACAGCATCCGCACCAGAGACACAGAGGCAAGGGTTTAGATTCTTTCAATCCATCAACAGGCAGGTCAAAAACTACCAAATATGTTGGGGTGCAGGGATGCAAGGATTTGAACCTTGATCTTCTCGTAAGTCTTGTAACTTGTTCATACAGGTTACAAGCTGAGAGCTCTACCATTTTGAGCTACATCCCTTAAAAACCTAACTACCTAAACACAAATACACACAACAGCCAGCAGCTAACAACAGAGCAATGCATATAACATAATCATCATACTAAACGCCAAACAAATCTAAAAGAGAAAAAGCTATCAAGAACATTGTACAATTGATAAACAATAAACAACAAAACAAGGTCATAGTTCAAATGTACAAAGAACTTCAAAAACTCCAAACCTATTTGCGAAAACCAAGCAACTTCTATTTAACATATATACTTCAAATATCCAAAAAGAAAAACTACCCAAGAGAAATATTAGTTTAGAAATCTCCTTTAACAAAGGCAAGACAAAAATTCTCTCCCATAATAAGCAATCTACGTAAAGGGCTCATTCCAAAATGACAAACCAGGACTACATTCTTTCAATCCATTACATGTTCTCTTTGTAAGTTCATTACTTAGTCATAAATTAGAGATCAAGTATCACATTTAATGCAATCTCTCAGAGGACCTCATCCCTATCATCCCTTCCACACTTCACGAGCTTAAAATCCAGCTAAAGCATATTTGTTCATTGTTATATTGTAGGTTTTTGCAAGATCCAAAATAAGCTATGTATGCATTAAAGCACGACTCACATTCAAATTAGTTCCAGAAAATCAACCTGTATTAGCAACCAGCTGGGAATAGTCAAATGACGCTCAACCACAGCATTATTGAACCAATAAAAGAAACACACCCAGCAACTCATAAGGACATCAATATAAAAAACACACTAGAGTTCAAAATGTCTATAATTTGACACCAACAATGAAGAATATAATTAATACTCAAATCCTTTTAAAATGTCAAATTGATCATAGAAAGTGTGTCAGATTGCAACGTTCAATAAGTTGGACTACGCATGAGAAGCACCAAATGAAGGAAAGAACGGCAGATCCTATCAAGCCGCCCAAATGAACACAAAAGCTATACAAAGGAACAGTTATAGAAAAAAGTATTATCAGCTGACGAAACTAAAAAGACAGGGAAGGAAAATATCACACGTCATGCCACATTTATTTCCACCAGCAGTTTAAAAAACAGTTTTATCAGGTCTCTGCATAAACTTGAATCTGAGACAGCATTGAAAGAATGAGACTGCTTCTGCATAAAACACGACCCATATAATTATGCCAGATCGTCAACTTGTTAAACAACCCCTTTTAAAGACCTGCATTTCTCCACCTAGAAAAAACACTCTTCAGGAAAGTGTGCACATAAAACAGGTACCAAATCTTCTCTCTTACAGGAAACAAATTAAATGATACACCAAAGCATACACCATGTGTAACCTAAACGGATCAGCACACTTCAAGCTTAAAAACCCAACCTTATACAATGGACTACTCTGCACAGAAATTTCAAATATCCAACAAACTGATCCATCACAAACTTGAGCAACTTTAGCCTGCCAGAATAAAAAAGCAACATGCCACAACAAAAGAACCAGCAAAAGCAAACCAGGCACTCACACCGAAAGATGCCAACAGGTCTCTATGTTTAAGACAAAAGCCAAACCCTTTAGCAGACCACAAACCACCACCTCCAACACTATAAAAGCCGAAGAGGTACATATTAGCATCTGTACTTGAGAAAAATATATATATATACGAAAAGACTTTGAGAGAAGCAATTAAATCAAAGGAAAGAATTAACCCTCAGCCCATAGTCTGAAAAATCGAGCAAGACATGGAAGATAAGCTAATTAAGATCGGAAATGCTGAAATCCAAAGAAAATCAAAACAAGTCATCCTATCCATTTCTGCTGCCAAATCAATCCCGTCAACCTGAACATCAGTAAACCTCCGGCAAAACGAGATCAATGAATAAAAGTTTGAAACATATTTGAAATAAGATACTATGTAAAAGACAAAATCAAATCTCACAACCCCTCACAGAACAGTTCCATCAACGAAGATCAAAGTCATACTCAGTTTATGTGTCAGCAAGTGCTGCTCTACGGTCCAATGATACTTCACTGCATCCAAAGACGTCAATCTGCATACCACATTCCCACTCCCTCTTAAAACAATCAGCAGCCTGCCCACCTATAAACCCCAGGACTTTAAGAGACAAATGTTGCTGCACAAATCTTTTTGCTCGAATCATATCTGATAAAATCTAACAAAAATAAACCATACACCAGGAAGTACCAGACACCTCTTAAAAGCAGTCCACATTCCAATGAAGACAAGACCAAAAGGAAAGACATACACTCTACAAAGGCAACTCCCATTCCTCTTGATTGTCGCACACGCCAAATCCTTAATTTCGTTGGTTTGCTTGAATACCCATTCCAGTAATATGTAATCAAGTAAAAAAATGCGAAATGAATTTGCATAATACATTTGCTCAAAAATGCCACATTTATGGTCTACAAAGAACTAAATCGCAAGCAAAGGAACATAGAACCACCTCCAAAAAGAGATGTTCTAGGCTCTGACAAAGTGCGACTCCAGTAAAAAACAAGTTAGGTTGCAACTGCCAACACATTGCATGAGATCAAATGGTGGTGCCAGATCATATACACTCAGCAGTAAAATATCAAATGAACGACCAAATATCTTAACAAGAGCCCTTCTGAAAAGGTCAAAGAAGAGGCGAAAAAAGAGATAAGCACCAAAGAATATCCAACCCTCAATGGCCAAAGTATTGCACAAAGCTGAACAGACTGCATTGAATCCACCTTCAACCAGACAAATCAAACATTTAAACAGACAAAAACAGCAATACCAATAAAGACAAGCATCTGCTGACCCTTAAAATGTGTGAATTAATTAAAGACCAGTGTAATATAGAAGTGAATGGGAGGCACAGAGTCATACAAAATTAAGGATCTTGAGGCCCCAACACGAAATTCAAATTCTTTAATAAGTTAAATCTTTTAAAAAACAGAAATAAAGTAAATTTTGAGAGAAGATAATTAAGTTAAAGAAAAGAACAAACCCATCACCACATGAATATGTTGAACTATCGAGCCAGGAAGGATAAACACCATGAAATAAGACCATGAATAAGAAAACAAATGTGGAGTGTTTCTCAAGGAATCAACGGAGATCCAAGACAGACTCCGAGCTACAAAACTTCCGCACAGGAAAATCCATGAACTACCACAAAAAACATTGACAACATCATAACGTATCACCAGTTGAAAAGAAATGTAAGTATCAAGAAAACAAAGGCAAATATGAAAAACCAGGCGCGGTGCCACAAGTTCTGATTGTCACTCGAAAAATCATCCTCATCAACTTAACTCAAGTAAGACTTAATAAGCATCTGCACGAGACAATGACTGAAGAATTGCCCAAAGGTTCAAAGGTTCAGCATACTGAATTGAATAAACGGAAAACAAAACTCGGCATGACACCTGTTCCTGAGGTTTCGCCATTAACATTAACTTGAAATTGAACTGCAGAAACCCTCCTCAAAAAAGAGAGCCACAACAAAGATCAGACGCAGCATAATCTCCTTAAGAAATTAGTCCAGTCATGAATTAAGTTACACTGGTTCACACACGAACAAGGATGCATCTCATCACTCCTTAAAAACTGAGACATTAAAGCACAAGAAAAAAATCAACAAAGCCCAACATCTGAGGAAAAAGATCCAGAAACAGTGCAGAGCTACAATACATCTGCACAAAAGAATGCCCAACAAAAGTGTCGAATCTCATAAACCCAAGAAGAAATTAAATCATAAGGCTATAATACTCAACTCCCTCTTAATAGCGATTTCCTTCAACAAAGTTGGACCCCATATACAGACAAGATGATCTGCATAGAATGGAAAAAAATGGTGCAAATCATGGCCCAAGATCTCATACAATCTCCAAAATAGATAATAGATAATAAGACAAGAAACCCCCTCTTGGAAGAAGCTCTTCTGTGTCAACAATGTTGGACTCCATGCATAAGACAAGAGTTAGGATGTGTCTGCATATAGAAATGCTGTTCAAATAAGTTGTGCAAAATCTCAAAGACCAGCAAATCAAATAATAGGGCGAAGAAATTCACTCCTAGTAGCACCCCTGCTCTCCTTAAAAAAAGTAAGACTTCATACACATGCGAGTTGAATTGCATCTGCATAGAATATTGCTCCAGATCTTATAAACTCTTCACCATACACAGGATGCATCAAACTCTAAAAGAAAACATTAATGGCTCATGTAAGAAGTTAAATCATAAGCAGAGAACCACTCAAACCCTTTCTTAAAAGCAGCTCGTTCTACTTCAAGGAATCAGACCCCACAAGAAGACAAGTGTAATGGTCTGCATATAAAGACATTGCGCAAAAAATATCTCAGGATGTCATACGGGCTCCAATAATATAAAATCAGATAATAACTCAGAAAACCCCTTTTTTTCTTTCAACAGTGTGACACTCCAGCAACCGACAAGCGTTGGGATGCATCTGCATAAAAGAGTGCTCAAATAATGGTTCCATACCTCATAAACACCAAGAAATAAGAAACAAAATCATAAGCCAAGAAGTACTCAAACCCCTTCTTCAAACTCAATTGAGAAAGTGAGACCTCCATATATAGACACGAGTTAGGATACGCCTGCAGGCAGAAATATAGCTCAGACAACGTGCCCACATTATACAGACGGTACGACTAAAAAATATCAGATAAAAGACCCCTTGCTCTCCTTAAACAAAGACTTCATACACATGCGAGTTAAATTGCATCTGCATAGAATATTGCTCGAACAATGGTACCAGATCTTATAAACTCTTCACCATACACAAGATGCATCAAACTCTAAAAGAAAACATTAATGGCTCATGTAAGAAGTTAAATCATAAGCAGAGAACCACTCAAACCCTTTCTTAAAGGCCGCCCGTTCTACTTCAAGGAATCAGACCCCACAAGAAGACAAGTGTAATGGTCTGCACATAAAGACATTGAGCAAAAAATGTCTCAGGATGTCGTACGGGCTCCAATAATATAAAATCAGATAATAACTCAGGAAACCCCTTTTTTTCTTTCAACAGTGAGACTCCAGCAACCAACAAGCGTTGGGAGGCATCTGCATAAAAGAGTGCTCAAATAATGGTTCCATACCTCATAAACACCAAAAAATAAGAAACAAAATCACAAGCAAAAAACCACTCAAACCCCTTCTTAAAACTCGTTTGAGAAAGTGAGACCTCCATATATAGACACGAGTTAGGATACGCCTGCAGGCAGAAATATAGCTCAGACAATGTGCCCCACATTATACAGACAGTACGAATAAAAAAGATCAGATAAAAGACCCCCTGCTCTCCTTAAACAAAGTAAGACTTCATACACATGCGAGTTAAATTGCATCTGCATAGAATATTGCTCGAACCCTTTCTTAAAAGGCCGCCCGTTCTACTTCAAGGAATCAGACCCCACAAGAAGACAAGTGTAATGGTCTGCATATAAAGACATTGCGCAAAAAATGTCTCAGGATGTCATACAGGCTCCAATAATATAAAATCAGATAATAACTCAGAAAACCCCTTTTTTCTTTCAACAGTGTGACACTCCAGCAACCGACAAGCGTTGGGATGCATCTGCATAAAAGAGTGCTCAAATAATGGTTCCATACCTCATAAACACCAAGAAATAAGAAACAAAATCATAAGCCAAAAACTACTCAAACCCCTTCTTAAAACTCGTTCGAGAAAGTGAGACCTCCATATACAGACACGAGTTAGGATACGCCTGCAGGCAGAAATATAGCTCAGACAACATGCCCCACATTATCCAGATGGTAGGAATAAAAAAGATCAGATAAAAGACCCCCTGCTCTCCTTAAACAAAGACTTCATACACATGCAAGTTAAATTGCATCTGCATAGAATATTGCTCGAACAATGGTACCAGATCTTATAAACTCTTCACCATACACAAGATGCATCAAACTCTAAAAGAAAACATTAATGGCTCATGTAAGAAGTTAAGCAGAGAACCACTCAAACCCTTTCTTAAAAGCAGCTTGTTCAAGGAATCAGACCCCACAAGAAGACAAGTGTAATGGTCTGCATATAAAGACATTGAGCAAAAAATGTCTCAGGATGTCGTACGGGCTCCAATAATATAAAATCAGATAATAACTCAGAAAACCCCTTTTTTTCTTTCAACAGTGTGACACTCCAGCAACCGACAAGCGTTGGGATGCATCTGCATAAAAGAGTGCTCAAATAATGGTTCCATACCTCATAAACACCAAGAAATAAGAAACAAAATCATAAGCCAAAAACTACTCAAACCCCTTCTTAAAACTCGTTCGAGAAAGTGAGACCTCCATATACAGACACGAGTTAGGATACGCCAGCAGGAAGAAATATAGCTCAGACAATGTGCCCCACACTACAGACAGTACGAATAAAAAAGATCAGATAAAAGACCCCTCTTATAGTTAGGCAACCCATTTTTATTCAACGGAGACTGAGATTCCATAGACAGACAAGATTTGCAATCTGCATAAACAAATGGTTCCAGACATCAAAGAAATAAGAAATTAAATTACAAGCCAAGAACTAACTGCAACGTAAACCTTTAAAAACAAATCCCTGAAAACGATCACCAAATAGAACTACTGCAGAAGCTCCTCAAAATCCTGATACTCTGGACTAAAGCAAAAGATGCACTGCATAAGACACGAAAGGAAAGACCACGGAATTCACGATATTGAACATGTAACAGAAATAAGAAAGCAAACAGGGTCAATTAGGCAACTGCAGAAGCTACTCAAAATCCTCATACTCAGCTCCATGAAGACAGACTAAAAGCAAGAGATTCATCTGCATAAGACATCAAAGGAAAGACAACCACATAATTCACCGATATTGAATATGTAAAAGAAACAAGAAAGCAGAAGGGTGAATAAACAAAACCAGCACCCATGAGGTCCATTCATTGCCATGCCCCAAGGAAAACTTTTTCCCTAAGACAAGAATTAGGATGCATCTACTTCAGATATTGCTAAATAACAGCACCAAATCTTATAAATCCTTAAGATGGGAAATTAAACAGAAGGAAAGAAGAATTAAACCCCCTCTTAAATGGTATGTCAACTAGAACCCCACCGAAGAAACCTGAAAAATACAAAGTACCCAATATTCATTTAGGGGGTGAGAGAGAGAGAGAATTTAAAAGTAGGAAGTTAACATGTTCTTGTTAAGAAACCAAACCAGAATCTGCTCCCCACAACAGAGTCATAAACTTTAAATGCAACCAATTCTCCATACGCATCAAATCACGAAAATAGGGAATCATCGTCAAGAGAATGTCAAACCAGACCTCTATACAATTTGGGAGACCAAATATATGGAATGACAAGCTTAGAAATAAACCAACGAAAGGAAGACAAAACATAAAGGCTTAAGCACTGTTTGGCGGTAATTATCTAATAGCTTAAAGACCATAAAGCAACATACATCGAACAAATACATGGCAGCACAGAAGGAAGTAAAGGCATATTTCAGTATCTGTAATCAAAACATCATAATATTATATCTTCGAACGAAGGAAAAAAAGATTAATAAGATTGATGGTGATTTTGAACATATCCCCCCATATACCAAGAGGGGTGAATAAAAACCAGCGGCCTTGAACTCCACTCAAACCCATGCACCAAGTTGAAACTTTGTCCCTAAGACAAGAATTAGGGTGCATCTACATAAGATATTGCTAAAATAACAAGCACCGAATGTAATCAATTTTTGAAATCTAAAACAAAAGGCAACAACAATAAACCCCTTCTTAGGTAGCATGTCAATTCAAACCCAACAGAAGAAACCTGAAAATACATAATACCTAATATTAATTAAGTGTTAGAGGGAGAGATATACACTTAATATATAAAAAAATAAAACAATAAAAGAAAAATATTTAACATGTTCTCCCAATAATATAGGACATCAAACGAGCAGAGAATAAAACAATTTCACCAAAAACAAAACGACAACACATTCCCCAAATAACCTATTTCCTCTTCCATTTAACTAAAGCATAAACCTTCAAAATCAAATTCATGCAAAAATTCACCAAACAAGGTAGTGTAGGACTGCTCAAAATCCTCATAGACTTGCATAATGCGGACTAAAACAAGTCTCTGCATTATGCAAGTCTGCACAAGACACCAACAGAAAAACCACAGAAACGATATTGAGCAAGTAACAAAAATAAGAAACAAGGTGAATAAACAGAACCAGCGGCTTTGAGCTCTCAAACCGGTGCCCCCAGGTGAAACTTTGTCCCTAAGACAAGAATTAGGGTGCATCTCCATAAGATATTGCTAAAATAACAGCACCAAATGTAATAAATTTTTGAAATGGGAAACAAAAGGCAACAGCATTAAACCCCCTCTAAGGTAGTAAGTCGAATCAAACCCAACAGAAGAACCCTGAAAAATACATAATACCTAATATTAATTTAGGGGAGAGAGAGAGAGAGAGAGAGAGAGAGAGAGAGAGATATATATATATATATATATAAATCTTAAAAAAATTAAACGATAAAATATTTAAGATGTTCTCCCAATAATTTAGGACATTGAACGAGTAGAGAATTAAACAATTACATCAAAAAACAAAACGCAAACATATTCTCCCAATAACCTATTTCCACTTCCATTTAACTGAGGCGTAAACATCTAAAACCAAATTCCTACCAAACAAATCACCAAACAATGCAACTGCAATCACTATATAATGTGGACTAAAGCAAGACATCGACAGAAAACAGACCACAAAATTCACAACATTGAACAAGTAACAAAAATAAGAAACCAAGGAAAGTGAACAAACAAAACCAGCGGCCCTGAGCTCTCAAACTGGTGCGCCCCGATGAAATTCTGTCCCTAAGACAAGAATTAGGGTGCAACTACATAAGATATTTGCTATAATAACACCACCAAATGTATATAAAAAATTGAAATGGGAAACAAAAAAGCAACATCATTAAACCCCCTTTATTGTAGTAAGTCAATTCAAACCCAACAGAAGAAACCTGAAAAACATAATACCTGTCCAATTTAGGGGTGAAATGCAGAAGCTTCCAAAAGAAAAAAAAGGAGAACCAGAAGCTTCTAGAGAGGAGGAGAGAGAGAGAGAGAGAGAGAGAGAGAGAGAGACTTGTATAAAAGTTTAAAAAGAAATAAGAGAAATAAAACCATCACCAAACAGGGCAACTGCAGTAACTGCTCAAAATCCTGATAATCACTTCATAATGTGGACTAAAGCAAGACATCAATGGAAAGACAGACCACAGAATTCAAGATATTGAACACATAACGAAAATACGAATCCAAGGAAGGTGAACAAAAAAAATCAGTGGCCTTGATCTCTCAAACCCGTGCCCCCACTTTGTCCCTAAGACAAGAATTAAGGTGCATCTACATAAGATATTGCTAAAAAGAACAGCACCAAATGTAATAAATTTCTGGAATGAAAACAACAGGCAACAACACTAAACCCCCTCTTAGCTAGTAAGTCAATTCAAACCCAACATAAGAAACCTGAAAAATACATAATAAATAATATTAATTAAGGAGTGAAATAGACAGAAAGAGAGAGAGACGTATATAAAAGTTTAAAAAACTTGAGAGACAAAGGATTTAACATGTTCTCCCAATAACCTAATTCCAATTCCTTCACTAACTGTGGCATTAAAACCAAATTCCTGCACACAAAAAATCAGCAAACAAGGTAACCCCAGGAACTACTCAAAATCCTGATAATCACTACATAATGTGGACTATAGCAAGACACCAACGTAAAGACAGACCACATAATTCACGATATTGAACGAGTAACAAAAATAAGAAAACAACGAAGGGGAACAAAACAAAACAAGCGGCTTTGAGCTCTCAAACCGTTACCCCGTGGTGAAACTTTGTCCCTAAGACCAAAATTAGGTTGCATCTACATAAGATATTTCTAAAACATAAACACCAAATTTAATAAAAAAAATTAAATGGGAAACGAAAGGCAACAGCATTAAACCCCCTCTTAGGTAGTAGTATGCCAATTCGAAACCAACGGAAGAAACCTGAAAAATACATAGTACCTAATATTAATTTCTGAAAAATACATAGTACCTAATATTAATTTCGGGGAGGGAGGGGGAGAGAGAGAGAGAGAGAGAGAGACTTGCATTAAATAAAATAAAATAAAAATAAAAATATTTAACATGTTAACCAAGCCAGAATAGCTCCCCATAAGTGTCATAAACTTTTAGCTCCATCCAACTTAGTCTCCATAAGCACTTTAATCACAAAATTAGTGAATCATCAAGACAATACCTACCGACACTGCTATACAAATTCGAAGCCCAAATATATGCAATGACAACCATAGAAATGAACAAACTTTAAAAAAACATAACGCTAAAAGGTAAGCGCCAAACCACTTTTGGTTGTAAGTATTAATAGCTTAAAGACCATAAAGCAAAATTTATTGATCAAATACATGGGAATAAAAAGATAAGTGAGAAATACTCGGGGTCTGTAATCAACTGAGAGAAAACAATTTTATTGAAAGCAAAATTTATTGACCACATACATTGAATAATTTTATATATCTGAAAAAACAATTACTATATCTTTGAGATAAGAAGAAATTAAAATAGACCCTTTCATTCCAACTGAGAAAATCAATAGAAAGCCAAAATTGAGGACATAAAAACCCGTTTAGAACATACCCAAAAAACAAGAAACACATCAAAATGAAAGGCTACGAACTAAGAAGGTTAACAACGTACCACACGAATTCTGGATTTAGTGTCAAAATAAGAGCAGAAAGTTTGGCATGATTCTAGGGAAAAGGAGGAGGACATAAACATGATATTACTTACAAATTTCAGGGACTTGAAAGATACATAAAGACGCACATTTTGACAAACTGTAAAAGAATAAGCACGTAACCAAAAACAATAATCCATATGCAGCAAACCAATGAAAACCTTTACAAATGGACTCTATCCAAAGACTGAAAAGGTGCAGACATAAGCTCAAATCCGCAACACGATTACTATCTCCTGCAAATCAATAGATCCAGATAGACAATTTTGAAATTCAACATTCCATTGCATCCGCAAATCAGTATAAAATCCAACCTCATAGCCATCCAATCAGATCACCATAAGAACCTATGGAGTTATCAGCTAACCATAACATCTAACCCTCGTGTGTCAAACACCGCAAACGAGGCCTGAAAAATAACAGCAAAGCTCCGCTTATTTGATTGATAAAAAACAAGGGAAATTTCCAAATCATTATATTCTGAACTTCAGAACAAAATCATGCGGTTTTCGGTCCAAATCAAATCGCAAGCAGAACTAGATGCCCTGGCAGTCATCACCATCAGGCCAATCAAAACACATAAGCATATTAATAAAGATGAACTTTGGCCTCAAGTCAACAAATTCTATCTATACAAAACAACTAGAAGATCCAAATCGAATTCAAAGCAGTTTCATACCAAACACCTACTTCACCATCAGGCCCATCTTGTTTGGGTCTCATCTGAACCAATAAAACAAGACTGCAAATATACACAACCTCTGGTTCTTTATATCGTCACAACCTTCAACGGTCATTAGATTCCACTTTTAATAGGTAGCAAAATCCAACACCAAACCCTACAGCATAGCGATAAACAAAACTTAATCCATCCATATCTAAATCATAGAATCAAACCCATCCATCCATATCTAAATCATAGAATCAAACCCAAACAGAAGAAGCGAATCAACAAAATCCGATAATCTACACAAAACGAAACCTGATCGCCATCGCCCTTTCGTTCAGGGACCAGCAGAATGACTTGTGAGAACTTCTGAAGGGTATTTATGAGGAGAGGGGGTCGGCATGAACGGCCAAGATTAAGCCGGTGATGGAAGTAATAGACGGTGGATGTGTAAGTTGTAACGGATAGTGATGAGCAGTCGACGCGGTTTTTCTTGGTCGGTTGTAATGACTTGAAATCAACGCTACTTTCTCTTTTTTTATTTTATTACTTTGTATATTTGTGGTGGTGAGGACGCGCACGCCTTGTCGGATCCGGATTCCTTTTGGATGGGAAAAAAAAAATCTGCCACGTGGTTTTTGGGCGAAAACTCGCAATCCGTGTTGCACCAGGATTCCTATACACATTCGCATAGAGAAAAATAAAAGGAAACTGACACGTGTCCAGACCTTGTTGTACCAGGATTCCTATAAAAGTTTGGATGAAAAAAATTAAAACAAAGATTAACTACACTTTAGTCCCTAGAGGTTTAAGATCAGTATCAAAATAGGCCACAAGATTTCACTTTCATCAATTTAATACCCAACGTATCCAAATATGACAAATTCACCACGTCCGTTAAATTGACCGTCTGGTTAAAGGTAAAATGTTTATGTGTCAACTGTAGGACTTGCCACAGACCTTGACAACTCATTCCATCTAGTCCACGTTAGGGCTGGCAATGGGTCGTGTTATGTCAGGTTTCGTATCGTGTCGTGTGGGGATAATAAACATGTCAAGAATGCTCAACCCGAACCCAACCCATTTAATAAACGTGTCGTGTCAGGTTCAGGTCGTCTTTTATCTTGCGGGTTTCAAGTCGTGTAACGGGTTCATAAATAATAACATGCATGTTACGAAACTCACAACTGAAAAAATTTAAATTTAAAAAACAGAGAGAGTAGAGAAAATATAAGGAAATGAAAGAAAAAAAAAATAGAGAGATGAGAGAAAAGAGAAGGAAAATAGAGAGAGAGATAGGAGAGAAGATTGAAGGAAAGAAAGAAAGAAAGAAAAAAAAAAGATGAGAGAAAACTAAAGAGAAGGAAAAGAAAGGAAAAAAAAAAAGGAAAGAAGAGGAAATGAAAAGACAAAAAAAAAAAAAAAAAGAGGAGAAGAGAGATGGAAAAGAAAGGAAAACATAAAAGAAAAAGAAACATTATAAATATTAAAAGGCATACCATAAAATCACAAAATTGTTTGTAGCATGGTTGATAAGATGTTTGAGAGAAATGAGGGTGGTAGGAGGTTCGAAGCCCCTTGTGTGTGTGTGCTGAAGTTTCCATTTATCTTCATTTTTTAGCGGGTTAGCGTGTAATATACGGGTTAACGGGTCGATCTGAAATCCACCCGTTTATTAAACGGGTCAGAACGGGTTGACCCAAAATTGACATGTTTTTTATCGTGCAGGTTGAACCCGCTAATTTCTCGTGCGGGTTTCGAGTCGTGTATTGGGTCGTGTCCGAAATTGCCACCCCTAGTCCACGTGAAGGGCATTTCTGGGAAATTTTTTTTAAAAATAAAATAAAATAAAATCCCCCACTCTAGCAACCCTCTCTCTCCATCTCTCATCCACCTTCGTCGACCCTCCACAGACCCCTTCCCCGAATCAATCCCAGGCCCTCCCCAACCCAAAACACGATCAAACATCCAAAACAAGATCAACCTCACAATCAGAACCAAATAACTCACTAGTCCTATAAGTTGATGCTCCAAATCCATAATTACCCGAACCTAAAAAACATAATTTGTCCAATTCAATCAAACTGAGCCACAAAAGGAGATAAATATAGGGAAGAGGATGGCGATGACGAAGATAGGAGAAGAGGGATGAAGAGAAATAGATAGTGGGTCAGGTATGGCCCTAGTGGATTGGGGGGATGAGGACGAGAAATTGAAAGTCCAGGAAATTGAAATTCATTTAGTCCTCCCTCTTGTCAATTGTAGAAGTCAAGATCTTCTTCTCGAAAGCCAATCCATTGTTCTTCAGAATCTCAGCAATGGTAACAACATTAGCAATAGTCATTCCAAGGGCAGAGATCTCCACCTCATTGTTCTGCTTCATGTACCTTTTGGCAAGATTGACATAAAAGAAGAAGGGTTTTTTGGTATTTGAGACATGGATGAGATTCTTCTTGTTATTGTATGATGAGTTCGTGATTTGCAAGTTGTTCACCCCTTATGTGACATCTTCCATTGTTGCTTCTGCTTATTTCTTCTTCTTCTTGTTTTGCTCTGCAGAGAGAGAAGAAAAACCCTAATCTCCTCACAATTCCTCCGAAATTAACCTGAAATTTATAAGTGAGGGTTATTGTTTTTGATTGCTTATTTGTTTTTTTCTTTTGGTTAATTTTTTTTTTTTGGAGGTGGGTTTGGGATTTGTAGTCAGTGTGATTTGTTTGATGTTTTTTTTTTCTATCTGATTTACTGGGAAAATTTACTGTTTGAATATAAACTTCTTGAGAATACTGGTAATTTTGTTCTTGAGTTTTTCTGAAACTTTTTGGTGGATGAGGACTTCAACCTCACCCTCAACGTCGGCGATCTATGCCTCCTCATCGGATCCAATGGTGCGTTAGCTTTTTTTTGTTGTGTTGTTGTCGTTTTGGAAAGCTGGTTGAATGAAATGGAAATGCGGGTTTTAACAGCCAATATATGATTCATGAGTGTGGCTAAGAGTTTATGGGTTTTAGTTGGGGAGCCAGTAAGAGAGAACATAGGGGCTGTGGAGGTTGACGAAGGGTGGCTAGGAGAGAGAGACATGCTGGGATTTTTTGTTTTTTGGTTTTGAAAAAATATATATTTATATATAAAAAAAATTGTTCTTTAATTTTATTTCTGAAATGCCCTTCACGTGGACTAGTTGGAATGAGTTGTCAGGGTCTGTGGCGGGTTCCACAGTTGACACATCAACATTTAACGTTTGACTAGACGGTCAATCTAACGGACGGAGTGAATTGGTCGTATTTGGATACGTTGGATATGAAATTGATGAAATTGAAATCTCAGAGCCCATTTCGATACTGATCCTAAACCTCTAGGGACTAAAGTGTAGTTAATTCTTAAAACAAATAAAAGAAAAGAAAAGCTGCCACGTCTTTTTTTGAAAATTCTCGAAGCAAGTGGTAGTGTAACAATACTGGCCTGGGCTAAAAGGAACAGGAGTGGACCGTTTAATATTATTGGCACTGGTCAACACCCTGTGACTAGCCTAACATCTCAAGTTTCATCAAGCCCAGTTTCCAAGAGTATATCCGAACACAAAGAAGGAAACCCATTGAAGGGTGACTTTTTTTTAATATAATATAAATGATGGTGTATAAAGTATAAACTACTCTAAACTAATATAATTTATAAAGAAAAATTCGAACATGAGTGCAAGGGGGCAGACTCATTGTTGAGCCAACTCACATTTGCAATCACAACTACTTTATTATCTCTTAATAATTACAAAAATAATCGACTTCATTATTTTGAATTGAGATTTGAACAATGGTGTAACATTGATCCAGAAATTAAGTAGTTAACATTTGGACATGTTGCACATTTTTGATCTTGTAGTTTAGCTCAATATCAATTTCTTCTTCCTGATTTTATTTCATAATTATGTTGATTTAATCTAATCAAGCATTTCCTCAATCTGTTTACGAAAGATGCAAAAGTCACTTACTAAAGGGAATAAAAGAAAAAATGTAATTTCTGTTTTCAGCTTGGCTTCTCATGTAACCCTGAAAATAAAGAAGGTAAATTCAGTTTTCCCATGAGATATAGAGCGGTACTGACAATTATAAGTAAATGGAAAATGAACTGTTCCACATCAAAATTTGGCGGTGGAGCATTTTACTACAAATAAAAATGAATTGCGCCTTTCTTCTTTTATTTTTGCTACTGAAAAACAAAAATGAAAACATAAAAAGTAAGAAACATCAAGGGACTTGGCCTACGCTATGTGTAAACTAAATATTTACTTATAAATCAAAGATTGGGCCACTCATGACATCTGGGAGCCCAATTGTTTTTTTTTTTTGTTTTTTATAATTTTATAATTTGTCTCTTTACATTTAGAAAAAATGAAAAATATATATATATAAATTAATCAGGACAAAAATGTAAAGTCCTGGAATTCTTTCTCGGATGGGTGATGTACTGGTGAAATCCTTGATCCACTAAGAAAGCTACACAGATCATTAAATCAAGTTGGATTGTTAAAAAATTTAAAAATATTGAATAAGAATCATCATGTATGCATTAAAAAATATATATATAATGTGCACACATGTATGTGTAAAAAGTAGGCGAAGCACAGAAACATTACAGCAGGGGTCTAAAGTCGGCCATTTTTTTCACCGCGGCTACTTCATCATTCATAGATCAAATTCAGAAAGAGGAGGGAAAAGAGAGAAGACATCTCTGTTTGTGTGATGTATAACGTCATTATTTCACTTCTGAAAAATGAATACAATCTGTAGCATCGGCACATGGACCTCTAGATAGGCTATGTACAGCAACTTTCATGGAAAACAACTGAGAAAAGATGCGAGGTTATTAAGTTCAAAAAATCTGATCAAAAGATAGCTTAGTTCCTAAGGTATGGGGTTAAACGTGATTCTGTTGCAAAATTAAGTTGGTAACGAGAACAGACCACCCTAATGCAAGGATACATATACGTTATGAGCACCACTGCGAAACCACCTCTTATAGATCACATTTTCAGGCATTCTGTTCTGTTACTCCTCTATGCATGCTTCAGCAGCTTCTGAGAGACCTGTTGTTATTTATCTCCAAGTTCTCTTCTAGTCAACTATGATAAAAAGTAAATAAGAACATGAACAAGGATATATGTTACACAAGACTGGAAAGCTCCTACTTAATGTAAGAAATATCCATACCATTGGTAGCTAAATCAATTTCAGAGTTGGAGGTGGTGGTGTCCCTAGAAACCGTAAGTTCTGAAGCTTTCTCCACGCCATTGGAATTGTAAGGAGCAATACTGTGTCTTGTCCGCTGGAGGGAACCCAGCAAATCATTCTCAATGC